TGAGTTGCTGATCCATGTCCAGACGTCAGCACCAGTGTCACTGGCGTATGTGCTTGGTGTTACGTGTTGGGCACGCACGGAGCGGTAAGTGCTCTGTACTCACTCATACTGTATTTATATGTATCAGGTGTGTGCCCAAAACCATAAAATCACGCCTTTGAACTCTCACATAGCTATCAAATTTCCAATTATGCAGAATGTATTCGTAATAAAAATCCATGAGGAAAATAAATAAATATTGGAGAATGAGGGAATCGAACCCCCGACTTCGTGCATGCAAAGCACGCACTCTACCAACTGAGTTAATTCCCCGATGCATATTATGATAATTTAAATTATTAATATTTCCTTCCTTAAAATACGAATCGAACAGCCATTACAACTTTTATGTAATTTTTGTGTTCGCGTGCGTGTGTATCTGTAATATTTACTTGAATACTATAGGCGAGTGCGTATAGTATAAAAAAAAACTTGTGTGAACAGGATGTCGATATATGTTATATTTGGATGAAGCGCTCAGGCAGGCTGACAATTATCAATTTTATTCGCGCCCGCCCATTTGGCGAAAGGAGCTTACACTCTGTCAAGCCAACTAGTACATATGTGCAAACCACCTTGCTTCTGCCTTGTCACCTCATTTCTTAATGGTTCGTGGAAAGTGTCTCACTAGCACTTTTTTGTTCTAATGGATATGCCAGCCCGATAAACCCGCATCGTGTGACGTGTAGGTTAACTCTTGTGACAGCGACGTCACAGCCGAGCGAGTTTAATTCACCACCGTTATTAGCATGCTACATGCCATACTATATTCGAGTACCGTTTTTGTACCAAGTAATTGGTATTATTGTTACAGTAAAACTTCTTTTCAATATGTTGCATACATCAGAACGTAAAACATTGTACTTGGGTATTGGTATTTTCTGTAGTAAGAACGTATTTCCGACGTTGGATTTTATTTTCGATTTTATTTATTCATTTTCGATCTACTGCATACTCAATACCGATATTTGAGACTCCCGAAGTGTGTGGTACTAGAATTGCTGTATGCAATTGTAGCCTCGTAGATATCATCAACTATTGGCGGTCAATAGGAGGATGATATACTTTAGTATCGACGGTTGTATCGTACAGAGGAACTAGATAGTAGACACACGTAATAACGATAAATCAACACATTCCATCGATGGACACAAGCTGCCAGCAAAGGTTGTTGTGGTTAAACATGAAAGTCACACAACAGTCGTTAGATAACGAAGGGAGCAAATGCAGTCTGACCAAACTTCCTGATAAAAAACCGTCCAACACTATTTCAGCACCGAAACTATAAAATATCCACCACGGCCTAGCATACCCCCCCGTACTCGAAATGCTGTCCAACAGTGAGAGAAATAACTGTCGTTACCACATCAATAAAACTAAGTGTGGCGACACAACTATAGTAAACACTCATCGGAACACATCGAATGACTAGAACAGACGTATTTATTTTTGCATATATTATGTTTTTTTTCCAATTCGATATCGATATAATATATATATAACTATGTATGTGCAATAAATCGTAAATCCTCTGTGGCAAAGTGGTATCGCGTCACACTCGTAATGTGAAGGTCCATGGTTCAATCCCATGCGGAGGCAGTTTTGTTTATGTGTGTAATTTAGTATATATACTTTGGCAGTTTTGTTTATGTGTGTAATTGTATATATACTTTTCCCAAATTTGTGGTCGGAATGTTCAATACATATTACTGTCAGAAATAATCAGGAAATATATGGGAGTGGATAGAACAAATTAACCACTATAGCAAAATACTCTAGAAAAATATTTGTTGCTACGAAGGGGATCGAACCCTTGGCCTCAAGATTAACAGTCTTGCGCTACTACCAACTGAGCCACGCGGCCGATGACTTGTTGATTGTTTTAGTATAATTAAGTAAATAATTTATATTTTCTATTTAGCCGTTATTCAGTCAAATACTCGGAAGTTTGTAGCATCTATTAGTAGCCTTTTCTTGACCCCAGAGGAATAAAAGTTTAAGCGAGACTACAGCAACACTTGCTCAAGATTGTCTGGAAATACATATATATCGGTTGTTTTACCAATTTCGATAAAAATCACATGCAAATACCTACGCACGGCTCTAACAGCTAGCATAGATTATGTAAATATCAGCACGATAGTACCCTTTACGCCCCGCTGTAAAATCTTAAATTTCACACTAATATTTTCAGGCAATATACGACTATTTAGTTTTCTGACTATTGAATTACAATAGAGAAGCCGAGTGGTAGGGACATGCAGCACTTCGGCTGCTTAGCTAATGGACACACAGGTTATACAAACAATGATCGATCGAATGCTCGCTCCGCCCGACAACAAAGCAAGCGCAATGCAAGTTATACTATAGTTTGAGAGTTTTCAAGTCATACCTTCAAATCCTCTACACCGTATATGTTATCATATGTAAAATTATTATGGTGTTTCAATTAGTCGGAACTGCGATAGATACAGTAGCAATGCGAACAAATCAACGCTAGGTGGTCGGGTACTTTGGATGATTTGGATGTTGTAGGCAAAAGTGTAATGTCGATTTCCCTCTGTGGCCGAGAAACAGCAAAAATAGCTAAATGATCCGATGGAGTTGGGCTCAGAAATAGGGTAGGCACAACATGGGTTCACAAGGGAGTAATATATAAACAATTGGGCTACATTACAGCTAAAAAGTATACTATTTTTGATCGAAGTTTGAAATCAATGTCCCGAAGCCTACTGGTCTCACAGCTTTACGGTGGCAGTTTAATTGCCATTCGCGAATGAATTCAAGTAAAAAACGGGGTAGGCACAAAATGGGTTCACAATGGAGTAGTATATAAACAATTGGGCTACATTACAGCTATAAAGTATACTATTTTCGATCGAAGTTTGAAATCAATGTCCCGAAGCCTACTGGTCTCACAGCTTTACGGTGGCAGCTTAATTGCCATTCGCGAATGAATTCAAGTAAAAAACGTAAAGTTCCTGACAAAGTGGATATATAAGCGGTCATTATCGCAACTTTACAGTTCACCCTCTTTCTCCTAGCATATCAATATCCAAACTACAAGACAAAGCTACTATTTTAAACAAATCTGAGATTCGTCTCGCTTTTCTGAATTCTAACAGGCAATATAGAACAAACTCACAAGTAAAAAAGAAAGAAAATAATATTGCTACGAAGGGGATCGAACCCTTGGCCTCAAGATTAACAGTCTTGCGCTACTACCAACTGAGCCACGCGGCAGATGCTTCATTGTATATAATAAAAATTATAAATGTTTCAATCTATTTCGTACTTGGTTTACTTTTTTATATTGTTTTATGTATACATTTGGGTCACACTTCCCGCGAGTATATGAATATTTATAAAGTAAAACTAATTCCCTCGTGCACATAATGATCAGCAGCTACAAATAAATGATGACAGGAATAAGCATCGTAGTCCAAACAAATTGTTGATGCGCATATATACATAGCATAGATTTATGATACGATGTTCGTTGAAGCCAATCGTTCTCAAATAACCGGGAAGTTAGCATCGGTGCTATTGTACTATTTAGACTCATCTGAGTGCTTCGAACTTACTATGCGTTTTTTCTAAGCGGATGGCGCAAGACTATGTGTCAATTTTAATGAGTATCGGCCTACACACATCACTCCTATCATAATCCACTTGGCGCTAATATTAATGTACAGGAATGGGAAGTTGATATGACTTCAAAAGTAGGTTATCGTCGCTTTAGGCACCAAGGCCCTTGTGAAAAATCCCAACTTGAACCACCCCTAAACCCTGAAACCCTGAAACCCCGAAGGAATGTGGTTGTCGCATCATAGTAGAGGCGCGCATATAGCCCGCGACTTTGATGTATGGGTTCATCATGCAGCTAAGGTGAGCTGAGTTGGGTAATCCACACCCTAATCCAATTGGCAGGCATACATTTGCAAGATTTGGTTTCAGACAGCAATTGGGAATTCCAAAATACGATATAATCATAGGTTGAGCGCAGTACAACCTGAATGGGGATAGACGATTTTTTTTGAAACAGTCTAGCGCTTAACACACTACAAGCAGGATTGCTTCAAATATATTCTGATACTGAAAATATAGACATACGGATGGGTTGAAAGAAAGCAGCACATCGTCCACACCGAATGTGCTGCATTGGACATGACAATTGCAACAGCGAAACCTTAACGTGAACACTTCCAACCATAGACTGATGATCATTGATCTTGATGCACAGACTATCAGGATATAATACCTTCCTTAGTCTATTTTATTCTTCAATTGTCAAAACGCAAAGGATACAACAGAGAAAGTTCGCTATGATTTTCGTTATGTACTTCAAAGGTGATGAAGAAGCGAGTGTGGTAAGATAATTGTGAAAAATTATACGGAATACCTTACACAGCCGCTTGTCAGATTTGTGCATAGAAAGCTTCACAGCAGGAGGCCGCACAATACTTCTATCACTGATTTCGATATCATTTGCATCGTGTCCACTACAGCACGTGCAGAGAAAAGTTGCACAATGCGAAAACGGTGTCACAAACCATAGACAATAGTTATCACTAGATGCAAACGGAACGAGTACTGACCAAATCAAGTGATCCGACAGACCGACGCTATATGATAAGGCAGTCAAGTATTTTTGTTTTTGTACTTAGACATATACAGGCCACATTCTGTTCCAAAACACATTCATTTATGTGACGATCACTGCTGTAAAGATCACTATATGTGCCGATTTCTTTCAATCTATACAGATGCACATTAAAGCATTCAGTGCACACAGCAGCAGCGAAAAGGCAGGTCTGAAGGACTGTTCCATTTACCGCTCCCATGTTGGGTATCATGCACCGCATATGTATCAAGCTGTTGTTGGCCGTCGAACTGTTCGCAAAAGTAACTTCACGGCGGTGACATTTCAAATCCGAAGTCAAAGTCAAGTGGCGGGATCATTGAGAGAAGGAACATGCTTTTTACTAATATTGAAACTATAGTTACATACGGCTACTGTTCGATGGATGGGTGCTACACCGCACCTCATGCTCCAGTTCATATATAGTTTCTCCGGTATCGATATCCACGATATTCTTGAATCGGAATTGCCTCTCACTTTTCGCCGTCTCCAATGTACTGACTTTATCCGAGAATCGTGGATTAATCCAAACCAAATTCAGACCTGAGACACTCAGCAAATAAGAAAATCGGGATTGGAGTATCAGAACTGAGCATAATTGTGGCACAGAGGCAATTTTGAAGGTAGGTATCCCCCCCCCGATACACTTCACTGGCGAGGCAAACCGTGATCCTCTCCTATGCCCTTCACGCACTTATCTTTCAGTGATTCTCCCGCAGGTGCCATTGGCAACATGACATGGGCCTGTTTGGCTGATCTAAGGCAGACTATTCGCTGTCTGAAGGCAGAAGTCATTCTTGACTCGTGCGTTGTTTTCGGGTTCAGTTAACAGCAACCAGACCGCTTTACGACTACAGCTCTGCTGAAGATGCATTTACACAGCCAAAGCATGGACATAGACATACCTTCTACGTTATTGTAGGCCTTTTCATAACCCTCCGGGCCGTTCCCCAAGTATATGGCAATATGATGACCGTCGTAGTCGGGTAGACTATCACTCACTTCGCTGAAGATAAGTGATTGCTGCATTCGCCCGTCCCAGTTGATAGCCACCTGCGTAGCACCGTCGCCCATGGACATCGTTTCTGCGCCGAAGACGTGATTGTAGAAGGCGCCGATTCTACGTACAGTATGCAGATGATTGATATACGTTAGAAGAAAACCATAAGAACCCTAAACTCTAAAACAGTATGGACTTGATTGTTATACGGTAGAACCGTTCACACACACAGAGACTACAATGACATCCTAACGAGTGACGTTCCAAATGTTTAACAACACAATTGGGTTGGAATGGCCGAGGCATGCATCCATAGCCGTGTGGGTGTTGTGCGATGTGTATGTAGTAGCTTATACCATCAGTGGTACAACATCAGGTCTGATGCAGAAAAAACAATGTACGACAATGTCTAATGTCTAATGAATGTAATCTACACACTCCACTAGCCATATGAATGTAATCTACACACTTCACTAGCCATATGAATGTAATCTACACACTCCACTAGCCATACGAATGTATTGCGCATAGGGTACTCATACGTCTCACTTGCCTGTGCGCAGCTCCCTTTGGCACAATAAAATGCACACACTCCAGTCCAATGACTTCCACAGCAGAGGGATTCTTCCCATATAGGCACTTCACTTCATCGGTCTCATCGTCCTTCAGCAGCGACTGCCCCGCAGAGAACTGCGTGCCTCTGCTTTCATATGACACCAAGTCATCGATCACACGGAACTTGAATGTATTACCACCTGATGACAGGGATATGAGGTCATGGCAGTCAGTGACAGTGATGTGCTTGCAGGGGAAGGACGCGTACATGCCACAGCTGTATAGTCCATACATGCCATAGCTGTATAGTCCATACATGCCACAGCTGTATAGTCCATACATGCCACAGCTGTATAGTCCCCCGCTCCTTAGCACATCCTGGGTGGTTGATCACCGGCTCGAGGGGCTAGAACAGGTTGACACAATTTGTAAGCGAAACTGTCGTACACGTCAACACTACTACACGAGGGTACGCAGTGGACAGTCAGCAGGAAGGAATAGCATGCACACAACACAACAACAGACATATACACTACACGAACACTAAACCAACACAACACCAGACATATACACACTAAACTAACACTACACTAACACAACAACAGACATATATACCACACGAACACTAAACCAACACAACAACAGACACATACACACTAAACTAACACTACACTAACACAACAACAGACATATACACTACACGAACGCTAAACCAACACAACAACAGACATATACACACTAAACCAACATTACACTAACACAACAACATATATATACACTACACGAACACTAAACCAACACAACAACAGACATATACACACTAAACTAACATCACACTAACGCAACAACAGACATATGGTACATGAACACCTCCCAATGACAAGCTACAAGGGAAAGAAGTCAACGAGAACTACACCAACACTACACGAACACTAAACTAACACTACACTAACACTACACTAAGACAACAACAGACATATACACTACACGAACACTGAACCAACACAACACCAGACATATACACACTAAACTAAACTAACACTAACACAACAACAGACATATATACCACACGAACACTAAACCAACACAACAACAGACACATACACACTAAACTAACACTACACTAACACAACAACAGACATATACACTACACGAACGCTAAACCAACACAACAACAGATATATACACACTAAACTAACATCACACTAACACAACAACAGACATATGGTACATGAACACCTCCCAATGACAAGCTACAAGGGAAAGAAGTCAACGAGAACTACACCAACACTACACGAACACTAAACTAACACTACACTAACACTACACTAAGACAACAACAGACATATACACTACACGAAAACTAAACCAACACAACACCAGACATATACACACTAAACTAAACTAATACTAACACAACAACAGACATATGGTACATGAACACCTCCCAATGACAGGCTACAAGCGAAAGAAGTCAACGATAACTACACTAACACTACACAAACACTAAACTAACACAATAACAGACATATGGTACATGAACACCTCCCAATGACAAGCTACAAGCGAAAGAAGTCAACGAGTACTACACGAACACTAAACTAACACTACATTTAACAATAGTAACATCAGACCACCACCTATCCCATTAACACAATCTACTCGAAAGACACACTTATTAAACTGCACCTGAATATTAGATAGCATACGCCCTATCACACCTCACACACAACAGTCACACACCAGGGCCTGTGATGACCAGCTCGGCTGTTTGGTCGGCGTGTGTGCCATCCGTTGTCTCAGACTGAAAGTACGGAGTGGACACAAAGCGTTCCTTCAGCTGCTGCATGCTCTTGCTATCCCGCACATACATGCCGAGGTGGCCTCGAACGCGTTGATTGGTGGTCCCCTGGGGGCAGGGCAGGTGCAATAGATGGAGATGATATGTGAAGTTCTGCAGTGGGTTTGAAAACATCTATAACCTCAAGTCAACTGCTTGTACCGAACGGGTATGCCAAAACTACGGGAAAACACAATCGTAGATGGCTGAATGAAAGCATAGGCATACGCCAACGCCATACCTTGGGTAGATGCATCTGGGAGGGGCCCAGATTGAACCACACAGTCCTCTCCCCCAGATGTTCAATGTGCTCCACTCGGCGCACATCAGGTGGTAAGTTCAAGAGCTCGGAATAGAAGCGCAGACTCTCATTTCGGTTCTGTTTGTCTATGTTGATATTAACGTGCTCTAGTAATGCGATGCCAGGGGTATCGGGAGAGGTAGGGGGTTGGCTCATATCGAATGGAGAATGTATTGGTCGCGAGAGGGCTGGGTAGGTAGGTTGGTTGGTTGGTGTGGTATGCTGAGTGACTGATGGTGTAAGCAAGCGGCACGCACTAAGTACTTACGTGTGCGGATTCCTACTAGCGTACGACTGCGGAGTGCAGACACTACTTATTTACTTGCACATATATTGCCACATACATACAACTGTCATACATACATATGTATTGCATGTCGGGCCTAGACTTCTAGAAGGTCTATTTGAACTGTCTTCTGAGATACATGATGACTCATACTTTAGTGGTAGGGTTTACGGTGTTGCAGCTTAGTTTGCAGTTGTTGGAAAATGCATGACCCACATAAGTGTCATCATGGACAAGGTATGTCTGTATTTACATCACTATGTATGTATGTACGTATTGTCGTTGTATTTGAATGTGTAAATATAAAGGTATGTATGTAAAAAGAATGTAGTTCAGCTGTTGCACATACGTATAAGGTATGACTTGCATATAAAAACGGAACAGGTTGCTGTTTGTCACCACGGATCACTAAGGCAGTCTTGCTAACGACACAGGCACGCACAACACACCCACCCACCCACCCACCCACACACTCGCGTCCATCCGTGATGAAGGGTCTGGCAACAGAAGCCCACGATGTGATGCAAAGGTACACCTCAACACACAGCCAAGACCCGCTACAAACTGAAGAAACACGTGCGTGATAGTGTATGACTGTACGTGTGCATTCATATGACAGGAAGGCTGCACGGTGGCGCATAAACCACACAGCAATGGTAAGGCATCTACGTACATATCTAACGCTTACACGCACAACTGCATGCTCTATTCAAGGTCGTGACTGCTTGTAGGTAGGTATATAGTCAAACCCGTAGCTATTATCGTATCAGTAGTTCTATACGTGTCACATGGCACGACAGTCGGTTACTGACAAATAAGCGCAACAGCCGTGTGAAGGTGAGTGCCCCACTCACAGTAGTCAATCCGAATACCTAAAGCAACCTCCACTATTGAAGCATGCCTCAACCCAGGAGAAGGTCACGGCCAAAACCGGTTGCCATAGCAACCCACTCCAGCGCCGATACATATCCGCACACATACACAGGTCTGTGTAGGCTACTAAGACACGCAAAGCACGTGGTAGTGGTAGTAGGCGCGGGTGTGTCGGTCAGCTGTGGCATACCTGATTTCAGGAGTGAGAATGGGCTTTATAACATGGTTGATGGTCTCGATTTGGGCGGCACCCCACTGGACCAGGTAGGTGGGGTAATACATGCACCTGTTTAAGCTCGAATGTACAAATGTATGTGTGTGTATAGTCAGCTATGACGGTGTTTGGGGGATATCGACGTGACATTGAAAAAATGAGTATGTTTATGTATGTATGCATGGATGTGATGGAATGAAAGATGTGCAGGGGTGTAGGGCACGTGCTACTATTATCTTAAATATCTCTTATAATCGCTATATTAGTGTATAAATATTTCGGTGGATAACCATACACACACACACACACACACACACACACA